CATTATTCGGACTGTTGCTATATTTATCACAACGTTTCGGCCTTCTTCAGGTGGTTGAAATATCGAACTGAATCCTTTATTTCGCACGTGCCATGTCTAATGGATGTCAGTTATCAGTTATCTCCTGTAAATTCACATCTCCAAGTTCTCCACTGCCTTAACCAGGTATTGAACTCACAGCTCTTTTGTCACTGGATCTAACGAACGGCTTTATCCACTGTGCCATGTGTCCTTAAAGACATCTGCGTATGAATTTCTGAGACTTATAAACATAATGTCTTCAGCAAACATTTTTACCAGTGCTCATATTGCAATTTTGCTGTTTTCATTGCATGTTTTTTTTACCAGAACTCATATTGCAATTTTCGTTGTAATTATTGCTTTTCTCTGGCACTCCTTATTACTGGTTCCCATATTGTATTCATTTCTATGCTTGGAAGGCTCAGGAGATTTTTGTGGCCTAGTATATGTGTTGATTCCATAAGTTTACGGATTTTCCAATGATGTTCTTTGTCTATGATTTCAACCTAATCCCGCAGAGGGCGGTGATCTCCCTTTTCTCTCCATATGTGGTCAGCTGATTTTTCCACCTCCCCTCGTGTTACAGCTTTTTGGTGTACTTGAAGCCTTACCTCCCCTTTATATTTCTTTCCGCAGCTGCACCGGATGGAGTACACACAGCCTTTAGTCATGTTCTCTTCTATGGGTGGGGGGGAATTACTCAGGAGAGATATCTGCGAAGTGTCGTCCAGCTTTTAAAGGTTGTCCTGATGTTATATGAACTGCAGATCCTTCGTATTTTCGCTGATAACCCCTTCACATAAGGCAGGCAGACTGTTTTCTGGGTGTTGTTGTCCTCCTCTTGTACCCGCCTATCCCAGTTTTGGGGGGCTGCTGCCATGTACCCAGAGTAGTTGTTTTATTGTAAAGTACTACTTATACTGACGAATTCTTTATCTAATGTCTCTACTCGCCACTTATAACTTGCTCGGTGTTGTAAACAGCGGACGATCCCTTTCTTTACGCTGTATGGATGGTGTGAGTTGAGATTGAGGTACTGTCCGGTGAATGTCATTTTTGCGGTATACGGATGTCTTGAACCCATGCTCTGTTCTATATATTAGAACATACAAGAATGGGAGTGTGTTGTTACTCTCTTTTTCCATCGTGAACTGCATCGAAAGTCTTATGATCGAGTACAACCTGGACATCTTCCTGGTGTGGCCAGAGTATCAAGGTGTCATCTATTTATCTTAACCATAGAATTGGCCTTAGAAATATAAACTCTAATGCCATTTCCTCAACGTATTCCATGTATATATTCGCCATTGCTGGTGATAATGGCAAGCCCATTGCTATGCCCTCATCCTGTCGATATACAATATGTAAACACAGTTGTCTCCATTTTGAATATTGCCGGTATCAATGCGGATAAATTTTTAAATCCTTTAGAGCTTTCTAAAATTCAACCAATATAATTAACTTCAATAATGATTTTTTAAAACTTCAGATCTTCCAAGAAAGAGTCACATGGACTAAAGAGCCACATATGGCTGTGTAGTTGCGAGTTCCAAAACCATAAAGCATGGTGCCTTACATTGGTAATTAAAATAATAAGAGGTCTAATCCTTGACCAGGAATGTAGCAATCACTTCACCCTCTACAATCTATAAAAATGTAGGGCAAAGTCAGCTATTCAGCGTTGGTAGCACAACCAATAAAGGAAAATTGGAACGATGAATTCAACATTTCAGCTAACACATTATGGTTTACCATTACAGAGTAAGTTATATATATATATATATATATATATATATATATATATATATATATATATATATATATATATATATATATATATATATATATAGATAGATAGATAGATAGATAGATAGATAGATAGATATCCATGCTTAATCTGTGCACTTGAAATTGAAAAAAGTCAATTAGTTTATTAATTAAATCTCCATTTCCGGCCTTCGCAGTCGTTAGGAAAATTCAATTATGAAACACATGGTGAGAAGGTTTGATGTACCAGCGTCGAGTTTGTAGTAAACAGGCGAATTCGTACCCAACTGAGTGTTTTGCGTGCAGACGGGGTTAGCGTCCAAGAAAAGCATTTACCAAACACGTTGCTTCGTACGCAAGTGTACAGGAGGACGTGCTAAAAAGTTCTCGCCCCCACCAACTTTCCAAAATCTGATCAAATGTGTCAAGATCAATTATTATTATTATTATTATTATTATTTGACCGCTTACGTTGCGCCCTGCAAATAGCTCATCCATAATGGACTGTTTAGTTATGATGGCGAGGAAAGACGGAGTAAAAAACAAATCAGAGAGACTGATTGGTTTCAATTTGAAAAAGGAAGAAAGAAAGAAAGAAAGGAGCAAACGAACGAAAAGAGAAGGCGATAATGCTCTCATGTGTTTAACGCCTGCTTCAGTGAAATTTGTCAGTTTTGAATCTTTTCATTTGTACCCTCTTACTTCTTCAAGTAATGATCTGCATTCATACTTATGACTGTTATTGTAATAATTTGTCAAAGTCGTGAAGCTCAAATATTTGACGATGGAATAAGGGAAATTCCATGGCTATTTTAGAATCAGTCATTAACTTAAGAATGATGATTCAGCATAAAATTCACTATTTTTAATCAATTCACTCCAAGCAAGGCGATAATAATGTGGTTTCACAGCATATAAACATTTTTGAGTTGTTTAATATCGAGATAAGTTCTTTTACGATAAGGAGGCACGGTGGAGTAATTAGAAATCGGAGAGCCGAGTTCGAATTCCAGTCGAATCCATTACATTCACTTACGTGCTAACCCTCTTCTTATCCCAGACCGGTTTCTATAGCCTTGGATAGTCTACCGCAGAAAGAAATGGCAACGTACTGCGGGAAAAAATCTGCCAGGTCAGTCATGTATCGAAAGATACATGATCGCCTAAGCGTGTATCATGTATGGCACATAACTGACTTACGATAACGTTTGAGTTTGTAGGAATTTACTTGACATGGGAACAGGTAAATATCAACCGTTTATATTCTAGTCTATAGAAAAATATTGGTCACGTATGCTATAGGTAAATACTGATATATATATATATATATATATATATATATATATATATATATATATATATATATATATATATATAGAGGGCCCTAGACAAAACAAAACTACTGTAGGTTTAACTAGGTCTACTCTACTTACTGTATTAAGCACTTTATTTAGTTATTTTGCTAACTCGTATCGGTTTCTTTGCATGCTAGACGATTATTTTCGGCTAACGTACATGTTGTTGGTTCTTTCTTTTTTTATACCGTTTTTCCCCTTTGGTATTGGTTTGATTATTTGCAATCAAAACACTGAAGGTTTTCCGAACGCGTATAATTTCTTATACTTATGATTACTACTAATATATATATATATATATATATATATATATATGTGTGTGTGTGTGTGTGTGTGTGTGTGTGTGTGTGTGTTAGGGCCTATGGGTCAATATTAGTTTAAATAAAAGTCTACATGTATTTAATTGGTTTGGGGATAAGTAAATATTGAACGTTTCCATTTGAATCTGTAAGCATTTACATATTAGATCCCCACTTTTTTGGTGGTGTGTGCGTGTGACATTCAAGTCAATACCGACTGGTTAGTGGAGTGGGTCGCAGAAGTGCCAATTTTAGTAGCGTTCATTTTTTTTAAAATTAAATTTCTATTAAATCAGTGAAGACGGAACTGTATCTCGAGAAAAACATTTTTATTCTGAGATCATCCACTAAAGAAGATCTCTGATTTTTTTTTTTTTACAAATAGAAATGCTACTCAGAAGTCGACGTCTATAAAACTTATAGTCCCTATTTTTTACATTTCTAGAAAGAAAAACCGAGAAAATGATCGTTTAAAAAATAAAAATGTTTGAAGATTACAACGCATAAAAATCTTCGTAAAAAAATCTTCGTAAAATAAAAAATTCAGCGGAGATGCGTCGGTGATTAATCTTTATGAAAATGTAAAAACTTACGATTAAATATTTTTTTTTCGTGTAAAATTTAATTATGAAAATGTTGGTGATTATTACAAAATAATAACATTTTCTCAGAGTTTAAATCAAAAATCTTATTCATTATACACTTAAATAATTAATGAATATGTACTGAAATTTCTATTTAAATTGCATAATTCCCGGTTTTTTGGTAATTTAGAAAAAGCGCTGCCTTTCCATCACAATTTTCATTCGAGGGTTATGACCCCGAGGTTGGGAAAATTTGAAATTAACATGTAGTATTGATGTAAATTATCTAGATACCTGTATATATATATATATATATATATATATATATATATATATATATATATATATATATATATATATATTTCACAGACGCACATATATACATATATATTGCATTATTTTGCCTACATATATATATATATATATATATATATATATATATATATATATATATATATATATATATATATATATATATATATATATATATATATATATATATAAGCATAAAATGATGCAGTACATACACACACACAGACATATATATATATCGGATCATTTTATGCCTGTATGTATATATATATGTATATATATATATATATATATATATATATAAAAAATAATATATATATATATATATATATATATATATATATATATATATATAAATAAAAATGATGCAATATATATATATATATATATATATATAAAACATAAAATGATGCAATATATATATATATATATATATATATAGAAATGATGCAATATATATATATATATTTCATCATTTTTATGCATATATCTATATATATATATATATATATATATATATATATATATATATATGTAAAGCAAAAGTTAGCAAAAACTGCAAAAAGGAGCCCACACATGAAGACCTCCAAAAATAGCAAAACAATAGTTTCAGAATTTGCCAACTGATTTCAAGCGAGATTTGGCACCGGTCATAGTTTTTTTCATTCTTTTTTTCTCTTGCATAACAGAAAGGAACATACAAAAACACTTCTAAGAACAGACAGATGGATTATGAATGCTCTGCTGACTGAGTGAGTTGCATTTTCTTTCGATGCTTCAGATTGAAACGTGCTGGAGTCTGTGAAAGCCGCCAGAATTAAGAATTGTAATTCTAAAAGAAGGAATAACTCTTCTTTCTTTTCCGCTTGGCTGCTACAGAGAAATTTTAGATTGATTTATCTCCCTTTTTGGCTGGGCCAATACGGCAGATCGATTTTCGAACCGTGGTATTGCACTCAAATTGAAAGTTGACGTTTTATATGTTAAATAATGAAACAAAATATGTTATTTCTAAATCGTTACCTTTTTATGAGGAAACGTGTTTAAAGATTAAGTTCAAAATGATAACGTTGGAATTTCATTCTGGTGATCAGTGAAAGCTTTGTAGGATAATCTTATTAATAAATAACTGAAGCTTCACAAATTGTATATGGATAAAATGCATGTCACAAGCACATTATAACTGATGCATTGTGCAATCAAATAAGACTTTAATCATTTACTTCAAAGGGAAATTAGACTGAACAATTTAGCTATATTATGATGTAATACGTTATACAGTACAGTTGTTTTAGTGTAATGTTCAATAATCAATGCAAATTTAAAGCATTTTGTCTTATAATGTTTGCCTAGCAATATTTATGGTTTTATATAGACTTTTATCTCTTTTTTGTTTTTAGTAATTATGATCTAACAAATCTAATTCATTGAGTGGCCATTTTTGTAATCTTTTACAATTATTTTATACAGGTTTTACTTATCTAATACAGCAAAAACAAATGAATATTTTGCTTGTAGTGATTCATAATTAGAATTCTGGCTTGAACATATTTTCCATTCAATGTATCTAATAAAATATATCAACTTTATTTGGATTTATTTTTGAAATGCTAAAATTTTTAAGTCAGTTTATAAGCAAAAACCTGTGGAAATTAGGTCTTTCTCTACATTTTTCAGACGATATTTAAAACTAAATGCTCAAAAATTGTTAAAAGCTATGAATCTAATTTTTGCTGTCAATACTTACCACACAAAACCACAGCTTTCCCATTGAGTGCAATGTTGACTTCATAAAAAATGAGAAATCAATCTGCCCTACTAGGCCTATAGACATTCAGTCATTATCCAAATATGAATGAACAGAGATGAATATTTCAGCAGAGAAAAAAAAAAAAAAAAAAAAAAAAAAAAAAACCAGAACACATTTTCATGAACAAATGCTGATAGGAGCAAAATTGCTTCTCGGTCTGAAGTCAAATTCCTTTGGGCTGAATTTAATGGAGATGATGATTCTCTTCGACTTCAGCTATTTATGATTTTCATATCATGACAATATAAGGGGATTAATCTAGTAATTATACTTAGGAATATGTGATTTCAACGTATGTCTATTGTAAAATCATTGGTATTGCATTTCCATTTTAAATATAACAGCTCCATTATCTCAGTAACGATTACTTTCATTCCCATCCACCGAAAATCCCTTTCTTTCTGATTTTCAGTACATTTTTCATCATAAATTTCTACCTATTATAAAGGATGTTCCAATAACTTAGACCGATTTTAAATATGAATTAAGTTTAAGTGTCTAATGGTGTTTTTCATTTTCTTTCAGATTTGGCGGACATTTGAGCGATATTATTTTTCACACATAATTACCATGACTTAAATAACATGATCCAATAGAGAAATAAATAAATTTTCACCAATAACACTGATTTATTTACTACTGATTTAGATCCTTCTTAATGAAACAGCCTTATGTATAATCCGTCTTAATGAAACACTTTTTATAATCACTATATCAGCGTTGATGGTAACATGTACTATTTGCTGCACGACCGTGTCATCGTCGATTGAATCGGTTTTCCACAAGGTTTTCTACACACCCAGAAGGATGAACCTTTTTGTAGGGTCCAGAGCTATCTAGCACAATGAGGTTAGACTGGGCTCTATAGCTATGTATGCAATCAGGGCAGCAATAGTACGGCATCCCTAGGCGAAGGGATTCCTAGAATGAAGTCCACGGCGAGCGCTGAGGGTTCTGTCGATGGAAGCAACGATTATGTGTCCGTGAGCAAGACGAACCTTCAAGTTGGAAGGCATCGGTTGAGGTTTGTCTTGGAGACGGGCGCGCTCAGCCGGGTCTACTTGCACATTTTGCATGAATGAATACCTCCCTAACCTTCAGCCCAGATGTGTGAAGGGAACAGCTGCGACCACACGCGGTTATAGGATTTATGGTGGTGGCGATGATGATGATGATGGTGGTGGTGATATATACCTTTTCATTCGGACTGCTATACTTATGGTTGTAATACATTTTTGTTTTATTTGACTACATCATTTTCGAACAAAATGTGTTTATCATTGTACCGGTGAGATTTTAGTCAATCTACAAGCATGAATGAAACATTTGTCTCTTTCCCCCCCAGGACTTTCTTCTTTGCTATGTTGATGCTAGGCGTACCACGAGTCTGTAGTGAACAAAACAAGATCTAGATTTAAATTTCAAATGCTAAGCATTGACTCATTGATTTCGTTAGAAATCAAAAAGACTCGAATTTACAAACTTTGTTTAACACACACTCAGAAGCGAATCCCAAACAAAACTCGTGAAATTTCACACCTTGATGAGAAATGTTTTTCGGCTAATAGAAAAATAGGAAACATTTGAAAACAAAATTCAAATAATCTTCAATTCTCAGAAACAAATTCTTTTACGGACCTTTTCACGAGCCGACGCGAAGTTTGTTCGTCGTCCAATGGAAAGGCCCGAATTATATCCGGGAGTGAATTCCCAAATGACCTTTTCAAGCCCGACAAACAAAATAAAAGACGGGCAAGTTCGCCTGTCACCAGACGAGCGTATTCACACGTCCCTTGACAAACGTCAAGCGATCGTTATTATTATCTCTAACTTTCTCTCTCAAATCTTTTATACTTGATAAACGAACGGAACATTTTAAGACTGAGCGATTACTTCAAAGACATTCCTATCCTAGGATAACGCTCATACATACATCCATCCACACATACGTTCCTGCATACATACACATAAACTCATTCTTGCAAGGACTACTACGAACATTTTGACAAACTTGTATCAACCAAAATACATTAATTTTATTTGTAAAGACCTTAATTGATTTATATGTATATAAATTTGTTGTTTCACTTTACAATTTGATTTTCTTGTTTTATACCCCTCTTATGGTGGGCTATCTAACTAACAAGGCCAAATCAAACTAATCTGTTTCCACACTCATACACTTCACTGTAACTGATAACCCACTATAAGTCTTCAGGATGGACTTGATCCGAAACATTGAATTCTTGTTGACTTCACGCAACAATTATCACTGAGAAGGATATTGCTGGTTTTAAAGCATGTACTTGGCGATTTTTAACCGTCTATTTGGGCTTAAATTCGCTCCAGATTTCAAGTAGAATGTCTATACACAGGATCCATTTCTTAAAATGATGGGAAAATTGTTGGCTTATCCTATCGCTCCAGGAAGTACCTGAATGCTTCTACCATCCTTTATCGTTACAAGAATCAGATTAGAACAAACATTGCTGCTATGTCTGGGCTGGAGCTGTCTAATACTTATTTTTTAACCTTGATAGACTTCATGACAGCGACAGATGGAGGAGAATGTTAGACAGCTCAACACGTCAGCGCCTCAACGTCTCCTTCCGTTACGGACGAAAGAAGAAGAGTTCAAAATCAGTTATTCGGTGTTGTGGAGGTTAGGCTTATTTTGTACGTTGATCTCTCTTTCTCTCAGATCCAACATCGCAAGCCTATCACCATTTTATCGATATTTCTATGGCAAATATTCATATGAGCCCCATTCTTTCGTTCTCCCAGACCTTTACATATAAGACAAGCCATATTACTTTCGAGGAATTAAATCACCCACATTTCCCCCGTATTTCAAATTTGAAGAGAAAGTTTAATTCTGTCTAGTTTCTCAAGGACTGCTTCATTGTGGAACAAAAATGCACGTTGATGCTCCTCTACTATCTTAAACTCAAGTCAAGGTTCTGCAGGGATACAGAAGGCCACTGACTCTCTTTGGTGGAGATAAGTCACGTGGGCCATGTGACAGACCACTTACTACTGTCATTATATACAGTGACTAAATCAGCAGCCGATTTCAGTTTGTTTACAGCAGCTAAACAGACAGGCTGCTTTCCTTATCTCCCCATGACTCAGCAGCCTATAAGTCCATGGTGTCGTTTCCATTTGGTTATATATCTTTCTCCGATATAGAACGAAAATCTAGCTCGCCGTCCACAATTTGGAAAATCCCAAAACTCGGTCTTTCCCCTTTGTGGAATATGTCTTCGCCTGGGACATAGATGTATCGGTACCGTTTGAATCTCGAGTCCTAAATATAGCTTCTCCAGACACAGGAGTATCTCCATATGTTTAAGATACTTCTTTTTTGTTTCTCCTTACACTCATATATGCAGAAATATCTCGAGTTAAAGTGAAACTGAGATAAACTGTTTTGGCGAGCGCCCAGGTTGGATTTGTGTGATATATAGATAGATAGATAGATAGATAGATAGATAGATAGATAGATAGATAGATAGGAGAGAGAGAGAGATGGGGGAGGACAAATTCCATTTAATAACGGTGATGTGTCCGGGATTATTTTACTTTATTCAGGCGATGGATGGATGGCGATTAAGGCTAAATTAGTCAACGATTTTATAATTAACTCTTTCTGTTTTATTACTTCCCCACCAGATGCACTTCATTTGTTCCATTTGCACAAGTACAGGAAGTCAGAATGCGGACGCCCTGTAGTCATACTCGAATTTAGAAAGATTAATCCATCAGAGAAAGGCATCAAACCTGCTGACAGAGATTGATAGATAGATATTAACAGACTGTGATAGATAGATAGATAGATAGATAGATAGATAGATAGATAGATAGATAGATAGATAGACAAATAGATGGATAGATAGATAGATATTAACAGACTACGATAGATATTAACAGACTATCTATCTATCTATCTATTAAGATAGATAGATAGATAGATATGAACAGACTGAAATAGATATGAGCAGACTGATAGATAAATAGATAGCTAGATAGATATGAACAGACATATATATATATATATATATATATATATATATATATATATATATATGTATGAACAGACTGACACAAACACACACGCGCGCATACACACACACACACACACATATATATATATATATATATATATATATATATATATATATATATATATATATATATAGATAGATAGATAGATAGATAGATATTAACAGACTATGATAGATATTAACAGACTGTGATGGATGGATAGACAAATGAATGGATACATAGATAGATATTAACAGACTATGATAGATATTAACAGACTGTAATAGATAGAGAGATAGATAGATAGATAGATAGATAGATAGATAGATAGAACTGTGATAGATAGACAGACAGACAGATAGATGGATAGATAGATAGGATATTAACAGACTATGATAGATATTAACAGACTGTAATAGATAGATAGATATGAACAGAATGAAATAGATATGAGCAGACTGATAGATATATAAATAGATAGCTAGATAGATATGAACAGACATAAAGAGAGATATGAACAGACTGACAAACACACGCGCGCGCACACACACACACACACACACACAATATATATATATATATATATATATATATATATATATATATATATATATATAGATAGATAGATAGATAGATAGATAGATAGATAGATAGAAGTTACCTGATTAATATTAATGCTTACATTATGAAGATTCTGACAGAATATCTGAGAAAAAGGGGAAAAAAATACTGAATAAAAGTGGCTTCATCTAACCAGACATAGATAAATAGATAATTTTCTTAATTCATCTTTGAGTTTGTTATCCAAACAATCCGAAGTATGAATTCCTACTGAATCTAGCGGAAGTGACGACATGAGATCAGAGTGTACATGTCGTTAGCCGACATAATTCATATCTATTTGGAAAGAAATAAACTCAATATTCGCCGGCTTCCGGGAAATTGACTCATCACCCCTCGTCGGGCGTTGAGTTGATCGTTTTGGAATTTCCCACGATCAAGAGGAACAAAAAGTAGGATTTTTAATTTTCAAAGCAAGACACACATTTCTTCATCATTATTAACACTGTCGCCACAAAACAATCTTCGCACGATGAATAATTAATTTAAAATATTTCTACGTTTTAGAAATTAGTTTTTAAATGTGAATGCGTCAGGAAAGCACAAGTTGTCAATCTATCTATCTATCTATCTATCTATCTATCTATCTATCTATCGTTCTTTGTTTTTCATATCTATCTATCCTAGTATATTAGTATCTATCTATATCTCTATCTATCCCATTCTATTTTCTTTCTATCTATCTATCTATCTATCTATCTATCTATCTATCTATCTATCTTTGTTTTTTCATATCTATCTATCTATCTATCTATCTATCTATCTATCTATCCCATTCTATATTAGTATCTCTATCTATCTATCTCTATCTTTTTCATCCCATTCTCTATCTATCTATCTATCTCTATCTATCTATCTATCTATCTATCTATCTATCTATCTATCCTAGTATATTAATATCTATCTATATCTCTATCTATTCCAGTCTATTCCAGTCTATTCATATCTATCTATCTATCTATCTATCTATCTATCTATCTATCTACTGAGAAAGGAAGTGGGGAGAGTCCGTTACTTTTCTTTTATGTGCCGTGTCCCTTCAGGACGTAAGAGATTATGGTCCTCCACCTCCTCCTGTCCCGTGTAGTTCTTAATAAGTTTTGTTTTTTGTTATTTTTGCCATGTGACGTGTTGCTTTTCTCTTGTCCCCCTTTCCCTCTGTCCGTCCTGTGAGTATCAAATTTTCCAAGCCCTCCTTCTTCCTTACGTCCCAGAAATTTTAACAGCCTCTTCCTGATGTTAAGTATAAGTTTCCTCTTTGTTTCCAGTCTCTCCAAATCCTCGTCATTCGCTCACATGTTCGGCCCATGGTATCCTTAACATCCTTCTGTAGAACGATACCTCTGTTGCCTCGAGTCTCTTCTTTATCTTTGAGGAGACTGTCTATCATTTACGACATATATTACGTAACAGTTCAGTACTTTTCTTTTGTTTTCAGCGAAATTTTCCTGTCTCTTAATACTCTGCTTAGCTTTTGGAATGCATCATTGGCCATCCCAATATGTCTTCGGATTTCAGTGTCGCACTTTCCGTCCTCTGTTAGAACACTTCCCAGATATTTAAATTTATATACCTTGCTGATGACCATGCATTCTGTTTTCTTATAGTTTATGCTTAGTCCCTTGCTCTCCTTCGCTACCTTCTGTAGAATGTTTTGTAGTTTCTTTTCTATATCTGCTATCAACACTGTATCACCTGCATATCTTTTGAAGATTGTGGCCGCCAATGATGAATCCTGGCAGGATTTCCAGTTCTCTCAGAACTGCCTCGCTATATATGTTGGATAAGTCCGGTGAGAAGACACATTCTTGCCTAATGCCCTTTTCTATTTTTGTATACCTCCTGAACTCATTTCCCTCCGTGCGTAGGCGGTTTGCTGCCAGCAGAGATTTTTAGTTCTTCTTATATCTTTCCCGAATATATCAAAGTTGCTGAGCAGTTCAAACAGTTCCTTGTGGTGTACTTTGTCGAACGGCTTTGCGTAGTCTATAAAATACAGATACACGTTCTTCTGCATTTGTATTGCTCTTTCTGATAATATTCTGAGTATGAATATCGCGTTCCTTGTTCCGGTGTCTTTAACGAACACGCACTGTTCTTCCTCTATCTCCAGCCTGACCCAAACATTCAGAAATATTGAAATTCATTTTAACCAAAAAAAAAAAAAAAAATGTATTCCATTAGTGTGAAAGAAGTTTCACTCGAATAATTTCTTTTCAAATATACTTACGATAGGATTCGATTGAAAAACCACTTCTCTAGCCGAAACTTGCCTTCACCAGTTTGGAAATGGAGATCGCGTTGATAAAACTAAGTTTGATTTACCAATTCAAGGAATGCATATTTCTCGTTGAAAATCTTCATCTGTTATCTCTCGTAGACAAAATCTAAACAACAGTATTTTTTAATTTCACATATCGAAGCAGCTTCTCTGGTGAGAAAAGGGAATACAGGTTCGATACCGGTCCGTGGAACAATCTTTCTTTAGTGGGATTTTTTAATCTAGACCGGTCGTTATTAATTTCATTATTTAAGAAAAAAAGAAACAAAAAACAGGGATATCAACTCAAATGCATGTACCCACTAAAATATAGCATGTATAGTAATAATAATAATAATAATAATAATATATATATATATATATATATATATATTGAACAATAAAAAATATTAAAAAATTAAAATCTTCAGACACACTGGGTTGTAAATTAATATTCTTTCGTTTTTATTATTATTATTATTTCATTTAGATTCCTCGACTAGTTTCGGACAAAATGGCCATCATCAGGAGAAAAAATGTCTGCTTGCTGGTAGCAGTGAACTATATATATATATATATATATATATATATATATATAGATAGATAGAGAGAGAGAGAGAGAGAGAGAGAGAGAGAGAGAGAGAAATAGCAAGAAAGAGTAGTGGATCGTGGCTTGGATTGAGGAATCAGATAACCGAGTTCGAATTCCAGTCGAATCCATTACATTCACTTACGTGCTAATAACCTTGGGAAAGTTATGAATCATCTTCTTTCCACTCCAGCTATGGGTAAATAGCAGGACAGACTCGGTTCTATAGCCTTGGATGGCAACTGGTCTAGGGGAAGGACAACTCTGAATTCAAAACCTGCCGAGGGTCGTTTGGGGACCTTGTGGCACATAATGCACCAGGTCTCTGTATTCGGCAGGAAACCTTCACCACTATAATCAAATCACATGTGCAGGTTGCCTGGTTGTCGGTTCCTAGGAACCATCCAAGACTATAGAACCTAGTTTGTCCTGCTATTTACCCATAGCTGGAGTGGGACGTGGAGAAGAAGAGGGTTCATATCTTTCCCTCTGGAGCCACGGTGGAGTGATGGATAGCATCTGTGAAGAATCGAATTACTATATGTGTGTGTGTGTGTGTGTGTGTGTGTGTGTTTATGTGTGTGTGTTTATGTATTGAAATGAGTATTATAATATATAGTTATAAACATACAGATATATATATATATATATATATATATATATATATATATATATATATATATATATAGATAGATAGATAGATAGAAAAATTGCGTCCAAATTCTTGTAACGTTTCACAATTCTTGGCAGATTCTTTCTCATCACTATGTGGGATATTTAATGATGGAAACAAACAAAAGGAAAAAAAATCTTAATGTTATCGGTTAGAAAATAAACCCTAAAGACATATTAAAAATTTTATTTCAAATGTGTAGTCGTGTCAACGTAAACAGAAACTTAGTCCGATGAAACACTAAAGAACAAATACCACACACGAAAACTTTTTCCACATTGTCAATATATATATATATATATATATATATATGTATGTGTGTGTGTGTGTGTGCGTGTGTGTGTAAACATAGCATACCATGATGAAAAAATGTGATAACAATGTTGTATCCTCAAAAGGTTATTAAGAGGAAAGATAACTGTATTTTTTATTATTTTATTAAATTTTTTAATTCTTTCTCGCATCTTCGAAATATTTGTTAATTTTTTTTTCTTTTACTCAGCGGGTGGGCCAAAGATTAGTATGGGAAATCTCTGCGTCTTTTTGTGGTAAGAAACACATTTTGGGGAAAATTCTTGAAAAAAATCAAATTTTCGGATTTTAATGAAATTTTCAGGACTTAGTCACAAATGAATGAAACGCATCAACATACACATAAACGAGTTCCATGAAAAATTTATCCACTGTGTCAGACAACTAAGCCCTAAAATTGTTCTTTTTTTAATGTATCCCAAAGATAGATAGATAGATAGATAGATAACAACTTTTGTCGTAATTTAAGATTAAGATTATCTTTGCAATTTTGTTTATAATTGTCTACCAAAAGAGTTAATTTTAAACTTGTGCGTCTTCCATTACAACAGCTCTAAGATTTCCTTTCATATTTGTACATACGCTGACTATTATTTATTGTGTATATGTGTATATGTGTATACGGCAAAGGGACAACTTTGTACATCTTTGTAGCAATTGGTGTTCGTCTGCGTATAGATATGTATGTACTTTTTCGTCCAACCATGTTTGTTTATGTTTGTTTGCCTAACTCTTATGTCTCTCCAAGGGACTAAGTACACTGTCGCTCTAGGCCGTGAAAGATATTCCCTTGTCTAAACAAACAATGACTAGATGTACTGGGCTTGGGAAAGAAAGAAAGAAAGAAAGAAAGAAAGAAAGAAAGAAAGAAAGGTCGGAGATGCAAGAAAAAGATATAGTGAATGAAGGGAATCAGTGAGACGAAAGAAAAGATAGACTTAGGAAAATAGAACAGAAAAGATAGAGGGAAGAAATAAGAGTGAAAAGAGATCAAGGAGAGTAAAGAGCGAGGAGAGTAAAGAGTGAGGAGAGTAAAGAGCGAGGAGAG